AGTATTCTATCTTAATATGTTTCACTGCAACAATTCAACAGCACATGCTGACTGACTTGAGCTAGGATGCCCTGTACTTTTCTTCATTCATGCTGAGATTAAGGTATTAGGACAAAAGTCAAAAACTTAAAAGCAAAGCAGATCTAAAGAAGGCTATCTAAAGTTACATGACTATGTCACAGAGATAATTGTGATGTGCAGCTACATCCGCTATCATTGCCTTTCACCTTTTACCATAATACTATAAAATTAGAGCTGCTAATATAAATGTATTGACTTTAAAAGAAATTGAAAAAGTAAGGCCCTGTTAAGTAGTTTCAGCCTCAGATTAGTCTTTTTTAAATTTTTAAAAATACATTTATTGTATCATCCTTCACTTTTGCACAATGTATGGTTTCCCCACCAATTTCCCACCACCAAGTCCTCTTCTCTGCACTGAAAAACCTAAAATGAGGAGTGTTAAAATGGAAGTTTTGAAAAGGGAGGCTTTGAATCCCATCTCTTGCTCTACCCCCTCTGCTCTGGCTCATAGAGGCTCAAAGGTGCAGCAGCCCCAGGCCTGATCCTGCTAGCCAGACAGCCGGGAGGGGCGAGCAAGAGGAAACTGCAAGTGGCCAGGGCGCAGCACCTCACCGCTCAGTCTCTTCCAGTCGCAGTTCTCCCACTCAAACTTAGCAAGCTCCTGACGTCCTGTCCCGTCCCTCCCTTGCACTATCATTTTCCCTATGGCACTTTAAGATTCCAGAACCCAGCAGCATTTAACTTGGTTTCATGCCTGGTCAAAACAGTAACCTGACTTACACCCTTGAGCTTCCGGAGTCCCTGACTGGAACCCTCTTACCTGCTACAGAAACCTCTACGACAGCCTCCCCTCTGCTCTGGGTTCAGTATGGACTTTCTACAACACCACCCACACTTTCATAAGTCCTCTGGCCACTCAGAGGCCTTCTCTGATCTCCACTTGTAAAACAGTCTCCCTGCCCCAGATAAACAGCTTTGTCACCAGCCATTCTGTGTCATTTTCCAGTTTGCCTCCACAGAACGTAACACTTCCCGAAACATTTTATTTGGAAGTTTTCTGTGCTCCCAATGTAATTTGGACGGATAAATTCCTTGGGGATTTCGCTCCAGCATCCATGTCCTCTATCGCTATGACCCCGAGGCTACTGACACAATACAAAGTGAGTCTTTCAGTGTAGCCTCCTGTATGTTCACAAGGCTTCAGTTAGGTATCAGCTGTCAAGTCACGAGTTGCTTCAAGAGTAAGAATTTAAGTTATCAAATAAAAACTACAGGGCCATATGCGTGCAGGCACACACACACACACACCATTTTCTCCTATGTACTTCTATGCTTTAGTGCTTTCTTTTATATATATTTTATTAAATCTATCTAACTATATTTTTTACATCATTCCTGATTTTGTACATTTTTTCATCTCAGGTGTAATCCCCATGAACTTCCCACTGCCAACTCACATGCTTTAATTTAGTGCTTTCTATTTTCTATGAATACAAAATATGACTTTAAGGTGTCAAATAAAACCATAGTACATGCACGCACACACACACACCATTTTCTCCTAGGTATTTTCTATGCTTTAGCAAATTTATTGATAATGCATTTGGTGTCCATATCATCATGTGAAGACATACAAGAATATGAAAAACATTCTTATTCTGTTGACTCTGGAGGTATACAATGCTATACAAAATCATAATCAGGGGAACAGACTAAAGGAAATAGTTCAATAAAACTTCTCTATGGACTATTTCAAAGTTCATCAATGTGTTCTTTGTCACATTCTTTCTCTACATTTTCCACAATGGTTTCAGGAAAGGAAGGTACACAGATTTTAAGAAATTATCCTTCTTAAATGCCAGCTTTGTAAAATGAAAACAGTGATATTAAGCTATAAGCAAAATCTGGGTTCTCTTGGGTTTTTAATTATTTCTCTTTTTATGGAAACAAAAACGTGCAAATGAAACAGTGAACAAAAACCTGCAGAGTTGAAGTAGTGAGGGGGTTGCACACTTTTGAAGTGGTCTGCCAGCAGGTGAACGTGAGATGCCCATTGTTTTTGGTACATGTGCATCTTGTGCTATCAAGACAGTTTTAGTCTATTAACTTGTTCAACTGACTGAGAATTCCCTACCTCATTTACTTGAATAAAGATGGAGCAGAACAACTTTGGAAAGATATAATGACTACAGTGGCCTACAGACAAGACAGAAACAAATCCTTGATGGAAAATAATTTACACAAAGTGACACCTCACCAAACATGTCTGACAGTCTTCCCAATTTGAAACTCAGTCACTGAATACCTCAATCCATTTGAATACTTTGTTAAATAATTGAGAATCAAATGCAAAAAAAAAAAATTGTTGAAAAATTAAGTGGCAAAAAGCCCCTTATATTTTTTATTCTTAAACCATGATGAAATGTTAAAGAAACTATTATTCTTACATTATTAATTATAAATGAAGTCAAATATACAAAAGGTAAAGTCTTGAAGAATTTGTGAGATTAATAGAAATCAGGAGAATATAAATGTCATAAAACTACAAAGGCTTAGCTGTCCTATCCTGAGTCTCTTAAAAAACAGTCTTCAAGAAACAGTGCAACTGAGGCTCTTAAAGTGCTACGAGGCATAACGGACCATTTGGAAATATATCTTCCACGATCAACAGCACGATTCCCTGAAGACTCTAAATCACCTTCTTCTGTTTACTTGTCAGGCATTTCTTGCCATTTGGTAGTAGAAAATTATCTGTTGCTCAAATGCTAGTGTATTTTTTGAACAAATATGAAAAAAGAAAATTGAAGTTTTCTTTTTTAATGGGAGGGATATTATTATGATTAATATCTTGCATATGCTCATCTCTTAGATCTATCATTTAAAGCCAGAAAAGTAAGTGCCAATAGTGTTGCTATGGGCTTTGACATGGGCATCCAAAGGAGAGACAATTTTTTTGAACAGGAGAGACAATTTTAATGAAAATGGAAGGCAGATATTTGGCCAGGTGTGCTCTCTCTGATAGTTGGCCGAGCCAGTACCCAAATGACTGCCCATGAACTCAGAAGCTACCTGTGTTGCTTAGTAGCCTCTACCCAATCAGCCTCCATCATATTCCCCTGTTCATCAGGAGGTTAATTCGGAAGGTTTTCTCTGTGTTTGACATAAGCTAAACTGTTCTAACAAGACTTCACTTTTCTGAAGTTCTGTCAAAAGTTAAAACATTAGTTTCTTCTTTAAAAACAAAATATTGATAAAGACTCACATTGCAGGACTTACAGTTAGTCAAGGAGTCAGGAGTTATAGTCAGTTAGTCAAGGGGTGCCTAAGCCTCTTTGGCTCCTCAACATTCTTTGGGGAACGGGTTCTTTCTATGTCTGATGCCATCTGAGACCTCTTTAAAAAGAATAAGTATCACTTTATTGGTGTTACCACATATGTTTCTTGAGTTTTCACATTCTTGTTTATTTTTGAATACCTTGGCAAATTAAGAAAAAAAATGCATTTCTTAAAAGCTACATTTGGGGAAAAAATTAAATGCTGCAAAACTACATTATGCCAAGGTCTGAAACTCTGACAATGCTAAGTGCTGGTAAGGAAGCAGGTGGAAATGGTACAATCACTTTGGAAGGCAATTTGGTAATTTATACCAGTACTAAATATACTTTTACCATATGATTCAGTATCAAGCTCCTTAGTATTTATCCAAAGGTGCTGAAAACCTATGTCACACAAAACCTTGCATGCATATGCTTATAGCAGCTTTCAACATAACTGCCAAAACTTGGAAGAAAGTGAAATGTCCTTCAATTGGTGAATGAATAAATAAATTGTGGAATAAGCCATGAAAAGACATGAAAGAATCTTTTAACTGTATATTACTGAAAGAAGGAAACTTTACTGTATGACTCTGACTATCTGCCACTCTGCAAAAAGCAAAACTGGCAAAGGAAGAAAAGCCCAGTGGCTGCTGGGAGTCAGGAGAGAAAGGGATGACTAGGTTGTGTATTGGAGGCTTTGGGGCTGTAGAAATAGTTTGAAAATATGTGGAAATGATGGACACATGAATTTAAAGATTTTTTCATACCTACAGAATGTACCGTATCAAGAGTGACCCTAATGAAAACTATGGGCTTTCAGTGATAACAGTCCATGTGGGTTCATCTGCTATAATGCACTGATGTATTTGGCATGAGGTCCCCAAAATGGGACAGGGATGCATCTGTGGGGGACAGAAGCTAGGTGGAAGACCACTGTACCTTCTGACCCACTGTGTTGTGAACTTAAAACTACTCTAAAAATAAATTCTATTGAGAAAACATAAAATTTCTATATAATCAAGTACCCCACTATACATATGATCCAGAATGTATACTCTTTAAACACCATTGTGCAGCTAAGTCCCTACCGGTGCTCTGCCTTCGCATCTGATTCAGACACAAAGCAGATCCCATTCATGAGATAAGTAGTGCACATAAGAGAAGGCACATTTTCAATCCCCCTTTGGACAAATTTACAGCAAAATTCCATTCTGACCACGGAACCAAGATAGGAGAGCAAGGGGGTATTTGTGAGTGTGTGAAATAGAAGGGAGCACATTCCTGTAGATGCCATCAAGGACCAAAAAGGAAAACTCCACATGAGGCCAGTCTCCAGCCCGAGGAGTAGATAATGAGACAGGGATTTGATCAGCAACAGAACCTGATCACCGTATAAGACTGTAGTCAAGAGGCACAGCTCTACCCCTGGGCCTGTGTCCTTGTAGTCAAGAGGCACAGCTCTACCCCTGGGCCTGTGAATGAACCTGTTCGGAGGCTGGGAGTCTATACTTCTAGACTGAGGGAAGTGACGCTTATTTTAAAGGATGAGTTTTTTAGAGCAATGTTTATGAAAGTTTGCAAATGATATGTATTCACACACTCATATATACACACGAATTATTATTATGTCCATCAATATAAATAAGGTGAATGGGCCCTTACCAAGGATAAATTCCAACTGTGGTTCATTCGGTGTTTTCTGAAGACCTATGAATAAATAATAAAACTTAGATTAAAAATATTTAGTTCATTAAAAAAACAGGTAAGTGTATATTACTGTTTCACCCTACCCAGATGTCTTATTTGACAGAATGAATAAATTCAGTTAATCAGACTTATATCCTTTCAGTTCTCAGGATGAGATCTATTTGTAGCAGGAATAGACATGATTAAAGGTTTGACTGGTATATTTCACTTCATGGCAGAAAGAATTAAAAAATACTATTTTTGTAAAGCGGTGACAAATATTTTTCAACTATGTATGTTTCTTTTAGACACAAGTAGACAACGGTGAGTTCTTCAGAAAGGATGACCTCACCAAAGTACTCTTACAGGCACGTTTTCAGACTTTAGCCTGCCTTAAATAACCGGTAATGCATGAAGAAGATACGCCTGCCTAGGACATGGACAGTATGGAGACGGGCCTCTGCCAACTTGACAGCCCAGCTCAACATTCTGACGATGTTTCTACTCCTTTCATAGCAATTTAAAAACTATCCAACAACCGAGTTCAATAATTTAAGATGAAGCCGGGAAGGTGAGAACAAAGGCGAGAAATAGACGTCTGGATTGGAAGGCGAAGCCTGAACTGTAGCACTCGGTAATGTGCTTGCTAAACTTTCAACACCACACAGTGCAGGCGCGCCTCGATGAGAGAGGAATGTGGGCTGGGGGGCTACTGGCCACAGCTCAGGGGTGGCCAAAGAAGCAAAACAAAAATGATGGGGAGGGGACAGGGCGGAGTAAGCCAGTTGTGATAGAGGCAATATTGTGGAAATCCTTCCTTTGTTTCAGCAGAGGCATTTACATTTACTAGTTTTCAATCACTAGTATATTGTTAAAACCAGCTCTTTGTATAACAGTCATCCATTTTATTTACAGGATTATCATATTTTTGCACAGTAACCATTTTCTCGCCTGCTGACATTTAGCAATGCTGTGGTTAACAATTTTAGATTTTCTACGAGAGATTAGAGTATCAATTATTAGGTGGGTCTTCAGAATTTCAAACAGTCTGAATTTTTTAAAAGGTTGTAACAATTAATTTTGCTGTAAACTCTGACAACCACCTTTCTCAAAAGATGCATGTAACCAACACAATTTTCTGAAGATTATTTTTATAATGTAAATTAAATGAGAGGTTAGGCCTTTGTTTGCCAGTGTTAAGTGACTGGGCAGCGTTCCTATGCAAAGAAAAGACACAATTCATGCTAAACAGCTAAACCCAAGAATTAGATAAATACACATTTCTTCCAGTTTTTATGTTCAGATGTAAGCCTTGGACAAATCTCCAAGCTTGCTCTTTGAAGCAAACACCTAAGGATTTAGGTTTTTGTCCCAATGTTCCCCACTTGATTATCTTTATTTGGTCTATGTTCCAAAAAATAATTCCATTCAAAATGAAGGTACATTATTGTTGATATTGTTCAGTACACATCCAAGAACTCTGCTGTTCCCCTCCAGTATTTAAACATTCCATGGACTATCATTGTTCTCACCCAAAGTAATAAGATGAGATCTCACAGACTCACAATACCAAGATAAATTACATAAGGAAAAATTAGTTGACTCCATGCCATTTGTTAAGAAACAAGATTCGGCGTTCCCTGGTGGCACAGCCGGTTAAAACACAGCACTAAGCGGGTAAAGCCACTTTCGCATGAGTTCAATCCCTGCCTGACCTGGAGGTGACCCACATGGTAGCAGACCTCTCCTGACACGCCCACTGTTCCCCTCAGCAGTGTACTTCCTCAATCAGCCTGTTCTGCTCCCCACTCTGTCTCTGGTGAAGCCTCTCACTGTCCCTGCACCTCTGACCGTACCCCAGTTCTGTATGCATAAATAAATAAATCTTTAAAAAAAAAAGAAAGGAAAAAAAAAAGTTTCTGTGAATATACACGCACATATGTTCAGCCAAGCCAATCTACACTTTCAGAGTTACAGAGTCACAAACTTACTTGTGAACTGAAAATCCACAGTAGCGTTTGCTTGGGGTGTGGGAAGAAAGTGCTGGCCTTCTTCTGATGTTCCTTCCTCATTGATTTCCATGATCAGCCTTATCCGTTGTTTAATCTTCCAAGTTTTCGTGCCCAAATGTCACTGCCAGTGATTCCGGGCTTAATGTAGATGTATCTTCACGCTAAAGGACCTGATAGCCCACGATGAAATTCTGTATTTTGGAAACAACAGAAAGTATCTCAGCTACAGTATCTCTGGAGTTGCGTGTAAAGCTAAGAATTAAAGACAGGGAGAGAACACAACTACTTTCTCATGAACTTCCCAACGTTTTCCCACTTTTTCTTTTGGGACTAAGCTGCCCAGATCATGTGCCATAAACTTTCAGTTAAGTGGGCATTGTTTGTGTGATAATAACAAGGCTACACGAAGGACTTCTAAATCCTGAAAGGTACTTTCTCTTCTTATATTCTTTAAAATAGTCTATCACCATAAGGACGATCAACTTAATATATACCTAATATCATCAGACAGCATCTTGTCAGGCATTAGTGTGGCTTACTAAGATGGAAATTACAACCATCCCTTCCATTAGGACTGCTCATCTCTCCATCCACCCTAGCTAAAACATTATTCATGAGCATATAAAAATAATTTGGCATGACGCTTCTTCTAAAACGAGACAACAGGTTGTAGTGAATTTCCACTTCATCATTATTATCCAGTTTCTTGCTGTTCTGCCTGAAAAAGTCTTAATTGTTTAATGATGAGGGTTTATGTTGAAAAGAATGAATAATAATAATTTTAAAAAGTTAGAGTTCAAGGGGAAATGAAAGTAACAGCAAAATGTTGCTAATTAATATGGAGAAAGAAGACCTTTCCAAGAAATTCATGCCCTCTTATACAGACAGCCACAAATTGTTTCAATTCATTTTGATATTTTGCATAGTAAACATGACCAAGAATGAACTGGGGAGGGGGAGAATCAATGTTTCTTTAAATTGTTAATTGCTGAATTAAAATGTATAAAAATCTTTAAATGTCCATCCAATGTTGTTTAATGAGACATCAGCAATGGAGTTTGGTTTGGAATACTGATTTGATCTCCAACCTCACAAATCAATAGCCTAACTCTTTGTTGCTCTTAACAAAGCAGCTTCATTTACAATTCAGCTCTAATTCTGAAAGATCATCTGGCAAATATAATTTGCATCTTGAATTTTTAGAAAATACCACAATAAAGGTGTTGATAAGTTCACACTGGCATCTAAAGGTAACATTGGAATACTTTTTAGGACAAAAGAGTCATTACACCATCAACTAGCTCAAATCCTTCTACATGAAACAGTATTTTAAGTAAAGATAATATTTTCTAATTTTCTTTTTGACTATTTAAATTTAGAAGTCTTTTCTTAGAAGGAAGATCTCATATTCATTGTATCATATCCTCTCATAAGTGGGGAAGTACCTGCTGAAATTGCAACATATGTGTGAGTTGGGTATAAGAACTTTGTTAATTTCATTAAATTAAATGATCAAAGACTTAATCCCTGCTCCTGATCACTTATCTTAAAAACTGAAAGGGACCTACCTAAGGTAATAGATGAAAGTCACAGAAATTACAACTCTGCATACTAATAGTTATTAATAAAGTAAATACAAATTTACATTTGTATGTTTGTTTGTATAACTTGGGGGTAAGTGAAGAAGGTTACAGGAAAGTCCTACAATGATTTGCTAAATATGGTCCCTTTTTAGACATTCTACCCATTCAAAAGTAGTTTACTAACTGGGAAATAACTTTACTTCTAGAAATAATGGATTCAAATATTAAATAACAAGGATTATATGAAAAGCTCTAACAATGTTATTTGTTTTCATTCCGCCTTTCTTGGATTTGAGGAAATTTCAGATCTGATATGTATTAGCAATGCTTATCTCTTCAAAGGAATCAGATATATTACAACATTTTGGAAAACCTCTGTGTTTCTAGCTGTTAAATACAACATTTACTTAACTTTAAGGTTAAACATAATAATTTCTTTTCTATGTCTACTTGGAAATTTTTTGGTTTGGACATTACAAACAAGATAGAACGTGGTATTTTACACACCACAAAAAAATTTTAAATAGATAGCTAGGGTGACTAAACTTACTATTAAGAATGGAAAGAAGTCACACTAAACATCTTTTAAACAGGGGAGTAACATGATCATGCTTGATTTTTCAACAGTTAATTGGGTGTCAAAGAAGAAACTGTAACAATAGTGGCAACTAATTAAGGAAGCTAAGCTGGTTGAGGATTGTATTAATATTCTAGGAATGGAAAATAACAAAGGGGATATAAACTGAATTAGAAGCAAATGATTAAAGAAGAGAATCTGGATTCATATATATATATATATGAGAATCTGGATATGTGTGTGTGTGTGTATAGTAGAATTACCCAGCTTTGGTAATGGAATTATATGAAATATTTGTGTTAAGATAATGAAAAACAGTAATTTCAGGTGAAATCAATCCAGTGGATTGTGGATAATGAAAGGACCTAGAGAATAAAGAAGGGATTTTAGTCAAGAATAATGAGTTTTGATTTAACCATACTACTCCTGTGGTGCCTTAAGATATCACATGGATCTAGATCTCTAAAGAAACAGTGAGGGGAGAAATTATTCTTCTAAATCACTGGCCAATATCTGAAATCAAAGGAATGCAGGCAGTCATTGAAAGCAAGAACTTTTAGTGGGAAGAATAGATGACTGGAAATGCAACCTTAAGGTTAGCTGGGTAAGATACCAGCAGAGAGCAACAGCTGAGGAAACAATGCCACCCCTCCATTTAACTGGTATTTTTCCATGCAGCAAGATGATTGAGTCACAAAATGACTTTCCTCTTCATGAATGGAACACTTGAGCATATTTAAATGCTGAAAATGACACTAGTAGAACAAAAGAAGGATTGAAGATGAAGGAGAAATGGAGATGAATGATGGGCAAGGAGACATCTAGATGATACAATCCACTGTAATGAGAAAGGAGGGGGTACGAATAGAAAATGAGACTCCCCAATGGCTTCATTTATTTTTTCACTGAAAAAAAGGGCACATTTATGAACTATCACTAAGGAAAGATTTCTCAACCTGACTTCAAAAGCATAGTCTATAAAGGAAAAGATTAATAAATTTGACTACATTAAAATGAAAGACTTCTGTGAGCAAAAGATATCATAAAAAGGGAAATAACAAATTGCAAACTGGGAAGATGTGTTTGTAGCATAGAAATTTCCAACTTCTGTTTAGGGTGTACAAAGATGTAAAGACTATTCCTCCCACCATAACCTCAAGAAAAAGCTGAATAATATATAAAATCTTAGCTTTTCCTTAACTAATCAGAGAGCTGAGGTCTCAGAGCAACCAACTAGCCTGAAATCTATAGGCAGATGCCTGTGAAGATCAGAGCTTTCTTCCATGGGAAGAAGAGATGTCGGGCCCCAGAGAAGCTGATAGTAAGAATTCAGCTAAAACATCTAAAGACCAGCTAAAGTTCAAGGGTGGGCTAGCCTGTGAATACCGAGATACTACTGAAAACCACACATGCACAAGCAGTCTGGACTTACTAACAGACTTTACTTCTCTTCACCAGACACTGAGAGAAAGACAAAGAGCAGAACAGGAAGTGGAAGATGTAGCCCCTGAGGATGAGACCTGTGGGAAGAGAGCAGCAGTCACTGCAGGAAAAGCATAATTTTCACCCAGATCCCCCTCCCTCCCTCTATAACCAAAGACGACTGTTCATCAGAGGACATCAGTGAAGCTTCATTGCAACTACATGCTGGAAGCAAGAGAGGGGCAGGAAACTTTCCTGGGACCAGGTCACTGAAGACCCTCTGATGTTGCAATAAGAGGGGCAAGATCACTGAGAAACCCTCTTCCCAGGACTCAAGGACACCCACCCCGGTGATATGGAATGTTTGACCAGCAGGCCAGCAGATAACCAAGAACAAGGAAGAGCCTATGTTGATGGAGGGAGCACTGAATCATAAGCAGTGAGCCTCTGAGGAAAAGCTTGAAGTGGAGAGCGGAAAGCAAAGTTTTCAACCATTCCCATTCCCACCCTCAGCATCAGTCATGCTGGTGGACTCTGACCAGTGACACACTGAGGATGGCTAGAGCTATAACAATCCCTAGTCCAGCTCCATTGCTAATGAGTTACTCAGTTCTTCCAACAAACAAGTTAAAGGCCACACAAAAAAGGAACATGCCTACTTCCAGGTCTACCATCCTACACACACACACAAGGAGGACAGAGGTAGCAATGATGAAGAGGAAGAAAAGGAAAGAAGGAGTGAGGGGTAGGGGGTTAAGAGGAGGAGGTAGAGAACCATAATCAAGAAAAAAGGCATAAAAGTAAAAGAATCAGCTATGACCTAAATGTTGGAACTCTCAGAAAGAGAACAGGCCAAAGACTCTAATGAAAAGGTTACAACTTACATGACCAGATGGAAATTGTTAGCAGAGATACAGAAATGATCAGAAAGAATCCAGTGAAAATGCTAGGAATGGGAAACAGTAACAAGGACAGGCTCTTCAGGTGATGTGACACATTCAAGGAAATCATCAGTGAACTTGAAGAGAGGCCAACAGAAAACCCCCAAACTGAAACACAAAGAAAAAAGTGAAAATCCATGAGAGTATTTAAAAGATAGCATTCACTTCGATTCAAACAAATCATGTTTTTTTTTATTTTCTTAGAAAGAGGGGAAGATAAATAAATAATACACAATAAATACTTGAAGAGATAATGGCTGAGGAGTTCCCAGAAACATTCAAAGACCTCAAAACATCTACCGAAAAAGCACAAAGCCCTGGTGGCGCAGCGGGTTAAAGCACAGCACTAAGAAGCTTAAGCCACTTCCCCATGAGTTTGATCCCCGCCTGCCCCAAGGAGATCCACATGGCGCGGCAGACCTCTTCTGACC